AAAGATACAGAAAAACGTTTCGAACAAAAGTTGTTTGGTTCGAAGGGGGACATAAAGTAGTGCCATTGACTTGACCTTGAATAGTCATGTGAAGGTCACCTTCAAATTTTTAAATGGGACCCCCTATTGTTTATTATACTATCTTGTTCTACTAATTAATATGAACAATAGGGGATTCCATTTAAAAAATTAAAGGTGACCTTTACGTAACCTTTAAATGACTATCCAAGGTCAAGTCAATGGCACCACCTTATGTCCCCCTTCGAACCAAACAACTTTCGTTTGAAACATTTTTCCGTATCTTATATATTGTTGGAGATATTTGCGTGGATTATTTAAAATGAGACACCCTGTATATATAAAATATTGAGTCATCTTCTGAGTATTTTGTTGAAAAGTAAGAATTAAACTAGAAGTGTCACTCATGAGAGTTGATGAACAGATTGAATAGTGAAACCAAATTGATCAAAATTCAGACAATGTATACCGATATGTATTTTGTAACTTGAAATTTTATGAATCTTTTAACTGAATCGTGACAAATAAAATGTGTTCGCACAGCGAGCACAAAGTTTTATTCATGACTGCGGTAAAAAATTGAAGCCTGGGATAATATATTCTTATGCGAGCAATTGTTCCATTGGCAAATTTATTGTATTTGAGATCATAGGACACTTGAAATTCCTCAAGAGGAAAACTTCTCAAAAAAGTGCAAAATTTATCTGTTGGAGGAAGTTTGTAATGCAAACTCAATTTAATCGTTTATTGATTTTCCATTATCAGAATTGTGTTTACAAGATCTGATAGAACGTCGTAAACGAATCATAACGTGGAATAAATATAAAGCAAAATGACTTTATCTCTCCTCGCAAGTATCGACTTATTATGCAAGAATTTTATGCAGAGAATTATATCTCATAAGGTGTCGAAAGAATCCTAGATTCTCAATATTATCATTTATTTCGAAAACGTAGCTTATTTAGAATGTTTTACGATTGTACAGTTTAATTTTGCTTTTTTGTAATGATTAATATAAAAGTGAGTACAAGAATGCAAATGTTGTACTCCTGATACATATTAATGTTATTTAATTCATAAACACATGGACTTTAACATTATTATCCAAAAGGAAAGTTAACTAAATAATGTGTTAAAATGATGGATCTCAAAAATTTTTTTAATTGTGTGATTTTTGTTTATTCTGTATCAATATTAGGTAAATACAATCAGATTATTTGTTGTATAAAATAGCATTTGAACATTACTTGAGTTTTCTTTTAGCAAAATGGTCTTTGCTATTATTATGTTAAAAATACAATAAATAAAAGTATAGTTGAATCATAAGTAGATTTTTGTATTGAATAAAGTATTTATAATATTAGTTTTGTAATCATAGGGTAGGGGATTAGAAGTTAGTCTATCTTTAAAGTTTTCTTTTTACAGATGATAATTTTTTAGACGCCATCTTTTTCTTTGTTATGAAGATCATTTTTATAATACAGTGATGCATGCATTTATTGGCTAAGAACGTGAAATTCTTGATGCTTTTCTAAGGATGAAATTTTGTACCTAAAAAATTTTCAAGTTTTAGATGCGTATTTTTGTAATGTAATGCATGATTAACAATATATATTCGATTTTACTTGTACAACAAAATATTTAATTTTTAAAAATAGAAATTAAATGCATTAAATAGTTTAAATAAATATATATCTATTATATGTCTGATATAATAATGTAATAATTGTGTTTTTATGTAAATTAGTCTAAGATCAGCCAACTTATTTATTTATTGTTAAAAGTAAATTCTAAAATTATTAGAGAATAATAAGAAATATTTATCTAAGAAAATATCTGTAAGCAGTGGAGAAAAGTTATTTTTGTGGAATTCAGCCCTGCTTCTTTATTGAAACTTTTAGCTGAAGTTGCACCAATGCATGCTCGCGTGCAACCAGCACGATCATATCCCCGTTATATTAATAAATAAAAATCGACTGACAATTTTTATAATTTTTTTAGGTGCAATCAACTTGATCCACTCTCGCCAACTTTTCTGATAGTAAAACTGGAAGACGATTATTTTCGCATCCCAAAATCATTGAGCGTGTTTATGATGAAGGAACCGCCCCCCGAGGAAAATAATTCCAAAACTGAGTCGAAGGAAGATGAAGAAGCGAAAGAGAAGAATAGCCGCGTTGAGAAGGCTCAAAATCGCGTCGAGACCAGGAAGAGAAATAGAACCGTCATCGACGATCTGGACGACTGGGACGATCTGGATGACACACCATTGGATTTCAGGAAACGGCGCAAAGACGAGCTCTCAAAAGTGCGATCCAGCAAACACACGACTATTCCAAAGAAGAAGTCGCATATCTGCGAGATCTGTTACATCACGTTCGATCGCAAGAGCAAGCTCACTAGTCACATGTTTAAGCACAGCAACTCACGGCCGCACAAGTGTACGATCTGCTCCAAGGGCTTCAAGACCGGTGCGTATCTTTCTAGGCATATGGAGATCCACGACGAGCCCGCGCAGCTACACGCGTGCACCCTGTGCGATTTTAAGGCGCGCACGAAGCCGTATCTGAAGATACATTACATTCGCAAGCACACCGAGGACTACAACTATAGCTGCGAGCAATGTGGCAAGATGTTTAAAGTTCAGTCTGACTACACGACACACATGAAGGACCACGACACGGAGTCTTGCGTTTGCGACATATGCGGCACGTCCTATCCCAGCAAGAGTTCTCTGTACTTCCATAAGCATTACAAACACAAAACGAAAATCAAGGAGTTCGAGTGTCAGGTGTGCAGAAAGCGCTTCAAGACTCAGAAGAATCTCGACAGTCACGCTGAGCTGCACAAGATGAAGTACGTTTGTGAGCAATGCGGTATGGAGTTCAAATTCAAGTACGGCCTCACAAAGCATCTCAGGACCCACTCGGGCGAGAAGTCATATCTCTGCGCGATATGCGGCAAGACCTTTGGCTGCCTCAGCTCGCAAAAGATTCATCTGCTTACCCACGTCGGCGAGCGACCATACGTCTGCGACATCTGCGGTCAAAGCTTCACCCAGCGGTCGCCGATGATGCTGCACCGGAAGAAGCATCCCGGCGTCCATCCACCGCCGCCGCCCATAAAAATTACCAATCTCCTGCACGGCGTGCAAGATAAAATTGTTGTGAACAAAAGTGCCAAGTGACTCGCTTGTAACACGCGACGGATAAACATGTGGAATGAAGAGTGACCGTGTGGTTCGGATAACTTTTATATCTTTCTAATATATGTAATCTGAAAGCGTGTGATATGTGTGTGTAAACAAATCATTTTTTTAATGTTATCCCAGTGGCGATACATTTGTAATGTAACGCAGTTTGGACAATCCCGCCTATACAGCGGCGATAAAGTAACAACGTATTCTATTATCTTGTGACGTGTAGATTCTGAAAATGGAGGATTCATTTCTCGAAAGTACATGCTTCTATGTCGGTATGTCTGATCTTACATTCAAATTTATTAGAACATTTACTCGAAAATAAATTATACATTAATACGATATTATCATTTGACCAGATTTATAATTAAGTTATGAATCTGCAGGTATTTATTTATTCTCTAAGTTTCACAAACGTCGGTTAACTGTTAACCAGAGTCAAGGGGTAAACCGCTTACCAAAATCATGTACACCAATGTCCACTAATGCCTAGTGGGCATATCTTATTATTTTATTTTATCTTTACAATGCCCCAGCAAGGCCTAATGCCCAAAATAATGTCCAGTAATGCCGCAAATCTATACACCACATGCTCTCAGCTGTTTAACCCTCTATCAGAGTTCAGTTGACTCCTTATCTTTTTCCATCTTATTATTTAAGAAAAGACAGAGAGTCAATTAACCCTCAGTTAGCAGTTAACCGATGTTTATAAAACTAGTCTTAAGAGATTTCGAATATTTGAAGACTGTTATCATCTTATGAAATTACAAAATTATTCCGTTATTGTTTTTTTTTTAATTTTAACATTCTCGCGTTATGATTCACAATAAATCTGTTGGCGATGTAAATAGAGTATAGGAATGATGCCTGATATAATCTAATATTAGATAGTTTATTTGTAATGTTCTGCTTTATCTTGGCTTTGTTCATGTAATTACCTCTTACTTTTATATCGAGGTCTTCCAATCTTGTTTTTGTAATAGAGTTGATTGAAAAATATATCACCGTCTTTGCAACATCAAATTCAATGATATTTCTTGGAATACGGTAACATTTATCATTATATCTTGTATACTCCAGTTTTGATATTTCGGCTAAGAATGTGATATATTTTTGTCACAACGAATTTTACATTTTGTAGTATAAGAATTTTGCTTTTTATTCACAACACAAAGGAACGCGTTACATTTTCTGGCGTCTTATTTAATAAATTATTTCAATTATTGTAAATAATTCAAATTGGATAGTGAGGATATTGTCATTCGTTCAGTTTCCTCTTAATTGTTTTCAAAAAATTGTCGAAATGTGATTTTTTTCGAGAGTAATCCTCGTCGTGCTCGCTTTGATAGCAAACTTTTGCTTAGCACATGGAATGATGCAATGTACAGTATAAAATATCGATGTAAGATACTAAATAAATACATATGTTTTTAATAAATGGATATATTTGCACTTTCCGTAATTACGTGACACGTAAACTACTTCCACGAAGTCGCACATTGACTATTAAAAAAACATTTTAGATATAATGGAAAGTAAAACAATGTAATGATATATTGTTTAACTAGATGATTGTTGCAGTTTTAGGAGATTTTTGCTGCTGCAAAGGTCGCATTTAAAAACATTTAAAGATATTGAAAAAACAATTGTTATAAAAATATTTTTATATTCTGGATAAGTTACGCTAATATGAGAGGGAATATATTTTTTAAATAATTGAAAATGGAGATATAATATATATCGTGACAGAGTTAATAAATTAAATTTATAAGCATTTATAAAGCTTTGTAAATGTTTTATAAAATTTTGTTTACTATAATGCTAAATCAACTTGGAACACTTTAGGAGATTATACTACTTTAAAAAATTATATTTAGATATTAGCACAAGATAGATATTTTTTAATTAAAACAGAGTGTGGAGTAATGACAAATGTGATACAATGTATTTTCTATTTTATTCACATAATAAGAATTACTTAAATATAATACAATGAAAATTGTAAAAATGTTCGTAGCATGAAGAGAATATATTTTTAATAACAATTTAATGTTTTATACCTTATAATGTTATAATGTTCTTTGTTATAGGAAGTATAATATTTAATGGAATATACATGTGTTTTTTTACAGTAATAGACGGTACATGTCTCTGTATATACAAATATGTGTTTTGCACCAAACTGATTTACTTTTCTTATTTTTAGGTCTGTGCCACGTGATCCTCTTAAACAAAATTTTCCTGTGATTCAAAGCAAGCATCAATTTTATCTTATGCCGATGCAAGGTTCTTATGAGTTTATCGATGAAGATAAAAATAGGATTGTGGATATACCACATCTTTTGGACGTAAAAGTGGAGATTGTTGACGAGTCCGTGGAGGAGCCTGAAGAAATAAACAAACGTGGCAAACACAACTCAAATTTTGTATCAAAAATATATAATAATAATTTGAGGTGCTCGAAAAAATTTGACAAAAATTGCAATCTGAAGGATTATATGATCGTTCATAACAATGGTTATCCATACAAGTGCACAATTTGTGGATTAAACCTAAAAACTGAGACATTGTTTAAATCGCATGAGGCGTTACATGAAAGCGGCATGGATTGGTTTTATTGTGCAGACTGCGACTTTAAATTGCCAACAGCTCGAGCCTCCAGTGCTATTAGATAAAATGGCACGCTAATATATTAGTTATTACAAGTACCTACAAGTGTGTTTAGTTCTGCTCCGAATTACTTATAAAGAAGGCGGTATTCCTGAAACATATCGAGCTCCACTATATTGCTGTTGCAATTTGCAACGTATGCGATCAGATATGTGAGTGACAATTGTCATCTTACGCAACGCAAGTGTAAACGTCAGAATAAGAAAAATTATATTCATGAACACTTGAAACGTGAAGACAAGCGTTAAAATGATGAAAACCATGTGATTGTAAAGAAATGTGTGCCTGAAAAACTTGACTTATAAAAGAATGTAGCAATAGGCATCTCAAAGGGTTGAATCGTGATTTGAGTTTACCGAAGGAGAAAAAGCTGTTTTAATTTGTCCGATATCTTTTATGTTACAAAATATTGTATAAGATGAAAAGTAAAATAATCTATGTTTTAATACATGTTTTGTTTATTTAAAGATGCAGAGTAAGTTGCTAGAGTTTTATATTTCTGATATATTTTAAGATCACGAAATAATATTGTTGAAACACGCCTAATATTATAGAAATACGTATATATTTTAGTTGAGGTTGCAAGCAGTATGATGAAAACATGTTGTTACACTGAAAAAACAAGTTATCGGTGTGGCTGAATATATTTAGTTTTTGGCAGTATTTCTTTACATAAATAATATATGTTATTTATGGAAACATAAGTTTATGGAATTATTAAATATTTCATAAATATATTAACAAATATTTGCTTGACAGTCCGTGACCGTCGCATATGGTTAAATGAAAATTATTTGTTTTTATGTAACGCTTTTATCACTGTAAGGAGCAACGTAATATCAAAAAGAAGATTGAACACCCGTGTGTATAAAGAATTACTGCAATTAAAGTGAGAACTACTGCAATTAAAATCTCAAAGCTCGAGAAGAAGAAAGAACATCTTGCTATATCTGCAAGATTATTTTTAACAGAAAAGAATTTAAGCAAAAAAGCCTTATCTACATTTATGACACAATTTTCCTCAAGCTTGATTAATCGAAAGATATATTTTCTAATGCTCTCGATGACTCGCTTGACGTATCTGCATGATTTGCAAAGAGAGCAACATCCAACGTCTAAGTTGTTTTATTGGAAGAGAAAACAGTCCGATGTGTGTGTGTGTGTGTCAGAAAAAAGGCATACCATTCGTATGAATAAGAAATATTATTAAAACTATGAAAACATGAATATAAAATGTATAAATGACGTATTATTAAGATTATATTCAAGCATTAGACGAACGTAGTTGTCTACTAATGCTATAAAAATATTTATAAAAATGATGCACTTTTACAGTAAGTTCGGAAAATATATTTTTCATAATGGTCCTAATTATATATGATGTGTGTGTGTGCGTGCATGTACAATAGATGTGTATACGTACTAATATACTATAATTATTAAATACATAATTAGAATAATTATTCTGAAAGATGTATTTTCTAAACTTATTTATATAAGAAAGTACATGATGTTATACATATACATAATATAATTCATTTTATTTATTACTAGATATAAATTTTTATTAAATAAATAATTTCTTTATATTAATGCAAAGACATAAGCATATAAAATATTACATATGTTAATGTAATTAACTTTATGTATGGATGTAGCATACGCATGTGTATAAATGTATATCTACAATATGCATTTATAATTATATGGATATAATTCTAATTATAAAATTGAAAAGATTTCTAATAATTTTTATTATATCGATTTTATGTAATTCATGTTTTAGGAAATCCGTTCCTGATGCAGATAAAATGTCACGTAAAATTATTCTTGCAAAAAGATTGATGTCTGAAAGCATTTTTTTTTATTTAGAGATTTTAGAGATTAGAGATAAGAAAATGGATTGTAGAATATTCACCGATCTAGTAAAATTGTCAAGAAATGTGATAAAGAAAAACACAATGGAAGATAATAACAAATTGCTGGGTGAAGTTATCTTCAACGACAAATTTTCTTCTATCAACGAGACATACACAATAGAAGATGTGTTTTACAAGAAACTTGCTAACGGAGATTTACACATGCGATATCTGTCAGATAGTATTCGAGTAAGAAAGTAAAATGTTGCTTCACTTTGCAAGTATAAACGCCTATCATTGCTTTGAATGCACAAATTGCAGCAAGAACTTCAAGTATCAATGCAAAGTTGAAGTTACACCGACTTATCCATCAGGAGATGAATGCCAATTCGTACAGTATTTGCGTCATTGCAGTAAGTGCGATTATTGGCAAAACAAAGAGTTTAAAAGTGCATTACATTAGATAGCACATCAACGCATATAAATTTGCTTGCGAATATTATGACAAACGCTTCAAGATAGAATGGGACTTGAAGTTTCCAAGTTCTAGGTGTCTGCAATGGTTGTCAGCACATGTGCAACATTTGAAGATTCTACATAAGCCTTTACAATCACAGAAAAGTGATACGTGTAAACTAACACAAGTTTCACTGTGGCCTGCGCAGAAAGCTTTTTACCGCAACAAGAATCTTGACAGCAATACAACACGATTTACAAGACTTACGATTGTGGAAGTGCGCAGCAAAGTGTTCGCCTCAAAGAGATATTTAAAATCGTAGTGCAAAAGACCTGTATGTAGAGAGCTATATAACATAATACGACATTTGTAAAAAGTAATGTGATCTCTATTACGTGATCTAAACGTACATATGTTTTAATTTTAATCCTGTAAACTTATTTTTACTCATAATGACACATTTAGTTTTGTAAGAAGTTAATAAATATACTTGTTTTGATGTTGTATTAGAAAAAAGTATGGGCTGATAAGATAGAGCTCAAACTAATTATAAACATGTTTGATATGAAGCGATCGTATTTATTAAGAAATTATACTGCATTAAGTTATTCGAAATTTTTATCTTATATAATTTTATACAACTTCTAATTTACACAACAGACACTTTTCTTTACGTCATACAAAAGTGTAGATATGAGTTGTTAAAATTAATTTTAATGAAGTTATACATTTTTAATCCCGAAGGAAAGAAAGTTTATAATAAACAACCTCGATTCAAATTAGAAAGATGAACGAATTCGTGATTTTTGCGAATTATACAATAGTTCCACGAGATTCAATCGTATTCAAACTTTCTTGTATAAACATCTTTTCGATTCTGGAGTAAGTAGTGATTGAGATGTTTATGTCCTAACGACATCATTGAAACTAACCGCTGTATTTTAATATGTTTTAGAGAACAAAACTGCAGCAAGAAGATCTTGCAGACGGACGCTTCCGGTTGCTTTATTGTCGGAAAAGATTCGATACCAATGAGACTGTGGCAACACGCTGATGCCGGCGGTAAACTGCGCTATTCGTTAATACCGATATTAGACGACGTTAAGGCTGAGGAAGTAAAGGTAGTACCTAATGTACTACCGTTGACCTCTATTAAAGCCGAAAAGACGGAGGCTCGTCGGAGCAATCGGAGAATCAGTGGAAGCAACGTCGGTAGTTGCAGGGATTTCTCGATGCGTTTGGGCAATCAAGTCATTGATAGTTACACTTGCAACAGGTGCAATATGAAATTTCCCATGCAGTCTATGCTGAATCGCCACAAAGTGACGCACGATATGCGTTTGTGGCTCCGCAGAAAGTGTCTGAGAGAAAAATACACGCGATATTTAAAGATAAACACTCGAAGGCAGCTGAAGATGCAGAAACGTTTGCAGCAAACAAAGTACGTTTGTACACTTTGCGATTTCAACTGTAATAGATTGGCGACTTTGGATGCGCATCTAAAGAGGAAGCACCTGGCCAAGACAAATCCGAAGAAGCTCAGTTGTACGATCTGCAGTTACGAGTGTTCGAGTAAAGTGAATCTTAGCAGGCACATGAGCAAGCACAGGAACAAGAATACGACGAGTCTTGCTTGCAACATGTGCGATTTTGAATGCAAACGGAGCACTACTCTGGCGTCTCACTTGGAGAGCCATAAGAGATCTAAGAAAACTTCGGACGCGAGTTGTGCGAAACGTACAATAATGAAGTGTAGCTATACATCTCCCAAGAAGACGAGTCAATCGGATTGCTCGCACAGCCGCGGGACTGCGTTAATCTCATACCAGGATTCTAACTTGATAATTAAAAAGGAAGTTTATGCCGAGGATCGCAGCGAGACGTCGGCGATCGCTGCCGACGCCCCGAAGAAATCCAGCCAGAAAAGGCCACTCGTCGAGGAGCACTGTGATCTCTGCGATTTTACGTGCGCGAAAAAGAGTACGTTGTACTCGCATAAACGTCGACACAAGGTGGAGGACGTCAACGAGGTGTACGCGTGCAACGAGTGCGGCTTCAAGACTGCCAAGAAGTCGTCGCTGTACTCTCACATCAAGCGGAAGCACAAAGAACCGCGGTCTAGCGACGGCGACGCACAACCGGAACTGTTCTACTGCAGCCAGTGTGACTTTAAGAATAAGAACAAATACGAGTTGAAGATACACGTCGCTCGCAAGCACACGGACGACTTCAAGTTCTCTTGCGAGACATGCGGTAAAAAGTTCAAGGTCAAGGGCGACCTAACGAATCATATACGCTTCAGCCATCGGGAGCAGCCGGTGATCTGTGACGTTTGCGGCAAGATTTGTCTCAACAGCAACTCCTTGTATGTGCATCAGAAGTTCGCCCACTACAAGGCCAAGTACGAGTGTCAAATATGCAAGAGGCGTATGGTCAGCCAGGAGAATCTCAACGAGCATATGCTTAGACAGCACGAGCGCAAGGAGAACGTGGTGTGCGAGGAGTGTGGCAAGACTTTCTCGCGGAACAGCAGATTGAAGGTGCACATGAGGATCCATACTGGCGACAAACCATACAGCTGCACCATCTGCAAGAAGTCCTTCGCCCGCAGGACAGCTCTCAAGCAGCACCTGCTCATCCATACCGGCATTAGGCCGTACGTGTGCGATATTTGCGGCAAGGCCTTCACTCAAAAGCCGGGTCTGATCAGCCACAGGAAATCGCATCCGGGTTCCCATCCACCTCTGCCACGCGTCCTCATCGACCACATCCTGAACGATTTTATGAACGGCTGACGCGGCGATTGACCGACGTAAAATTTGCACGAGCGATTTCGAGGAATGTAGGTGACAACAATGTATAGAAGATAAATGTGCTCGTGTAATTGATATATTCATGTATAATACTATACAAATGAGATTACTCTCATTATATGATTTTTTTATCCGAGTGATATCTAGACATAATGATATCTGCCATCTAGATATAGTGATATATACCTATCATAAAACAAAGCGATGTATTATTCGCAGAGAATTTTAATTGCCTTATGTAAATGAATATCTTAAACGTATTTTTTTTTTAGATTATCATCAGTATACATATAAACATTGTGTCAAAAATTCTGTAAACGAAATCTCTTTCTAAAGCTTTGTTAATTTGTTACGTTATGCATTATATTATTACCATATCTGATATATTATTACCATAGCTGATTTGTTTATTGGATGTCATGTTAAAAAAGAATTATTAGTACTTGAAATTTTTCGAAATGATGTATTTGTATACTGTTTATAAAGCCATTGGTTGTTAGATAATCATTAATTGTTCCTGTTAATTTATTTGTTATTTTTCATCTGGAAACATCCATATTCTAAATGCATGCATGCATAAAATTATTGTACAATTATTCGCGTTTGTAAGTACGATAAATCTATTGTGAGAGGGTGTTTAGATTTTAATATCGGAATAGTATATTTTCTTATGTATAGCGCGCAATATTTATACCCTAGATTTAATTACTTTTATACATATATGTATGATTAACTATAACCCAATGTGATTTCAGCGAATATACAGTATGTGTAAATTACTACAAAATAGAGGTTTTCGTTTATTGCTAGGAATAAGCGTGAACTATTCCCGCCGTTGATTGTAATTCTTCAGAGATTAGAAAAAAAAGCCATTGAAAAATGATGTATAAATAATTAACAAAGTCTAAAATTTATGTTTTATCTGGAATGTGCACCTTGTCCATTTATGTAAAATGGTCCTTTATTCTTAAATATCGAGCGTTTGTTTAGAGGTATAGAAGGAATCGCGAAAGAAACATTTTTCACTTCATAGTAAAATTCTTAACTAACATGTTGTATGATTTTCAGGGTCATAAATGGAAATGGACATTTTTTGTATGGCAAAGAATCTATTCCAATGCAACCATGGAAAATAGTTGATTTTGAAGGATGCCTCTATTATGCCTTCCTTCCAACAAATCACACGACAAAACTGGTAGAAGAAAATCAACGTGATCAGAAACAGGAAGTACAACAGGAGCATGGCGAAATGTTGAAAGTTAACGTTGATAATACAGAAAACTTTCAAATTGTAAGTGATAATAATACGACATATACGGACACGAACAATTTTTACGCCATAAAGGTGGAAAATGATAAAACATTTTCAATGGACGAGTCAATAGCTACGGACGAAGACCAATCGTACGTTGAGGAAGACAAGGTCTACGCTTGTGACGAGTGCAACATTTGCTTTCCCGTAATGCAGATGTTAAAGTGTCATCAGGACACGGTGCATGAACAGAACGAACAAAATGTTGAGAATGTTACGTACAACTGTATCTTTTGCAGCTATGAGAGCACCAACAAGTCAACCTTGAAATCGCACATCAGCAGAAAACATTCCACGAAACGCATGATCCGTGAAAAAGGCAAACTCAGAACAGTTATTAAGCCACAGGAATACTCGTGCGACACTTGCGGGTACAAGTGTCCAAGTCGACGACGGCTGAAGGAGCATCTCGCTCGCAAACATGGTTCCGACTACAAGTACGATTGCGAGTACTGCGGCAAAAAATTTAAAGTAAAGAGCGACATGAGATTGCACGTGCGTTTCAAGCACAAGGAGGCCCCGACAATGTGCGACGTTTGCGGCAAGACCTGTTCTAATAGCAATTCGTTGTACGTACATCAAAAATGGGCGCATTTTAAGCCCAAGTATGAGTGCGAGATCTGCAAGAGGCGTATGGTTACGCAGGAGAATCTGGATCAGCATATACTGCTTCAACATGAGCGTAGAGAGAGCTTCGTGTGCGAGGAGTGCGGGAAATCGTTCTCGGAGAATCACCGACTGAAACAGCACATGATGACCCATACCGGCGATCGACCATACGACTGTCACATCTGCGGCAAAGCCTTTGCGCGTAGGACTGCTTTCAGGCAGCATTTGTTAATTCATACAGGGAAACGGCCGTATGTTTGTGATATTTGTGGTAAAGCCTTCACGCAAAAGCCTGGATTAATATGTCATCGAAAATCTCATCCTGGAGTACATCCTCCTTTACCAGTGGTGCACATTGATCACATTATCAATGATTTCATGAAGAAGGAATGATTATACAGTACAAATAAAAATCAAGCATAATCACTGTATGTCTCACACATTTGTTTTTAAAATGCATAGTTTTTTTTTAAATTTTGGGGTTTCCATACTTTTTCCTCACTCTGTATATTAAAAATTTGAGATTTTGAACATTTACTTGTATTGTCGACACTTTTATACCTTTCATTGACTATCTCACATTGATTAAGTAAATTAATATATACATAATATTTTATTTGCTGTTTAATGAAATTTATTGTTTCCGGATTTTAATAAAAAGGATAATTATTGTCGATAATGTGAAAAAAAGAGTTTCAAGGGAAAGTTACTCCTAAGTTAATAATGATTTGTTATTGATACATTGATACTTTTATACTGAAAAATTATTAGGAATAATATGTGTACGTACAATCTTCAAATATACTTAAGTTCTTTCTTATGATAAATGTAATTATTGTATAAAATAATATGTATTGGCAGTATAAGTTACAACAATGTGATAAACAGCAAAATGTATTTTAATAAAAATCTCGATGAGAAAAATTTATTTGTATATTAACATTACATATCTTTTTATAAAACCTTAATTGCAAAATTTTTTTACAAACGCAAATTTTCTGTACTGTAAAAAATAAATTTTAATAAAATGCTTTTACAAATTTGTTTTATGCGACACAGAAATGATATGTAATAATCAATTGCATGTAAGTATTATATAATAAAATATATATTAGAATTTACACTCTTTGTAAGATAAAATAGTATATAAATTTACATATTGAAAGAGTTTCAGGTGTGCTTACAGAAATTGGAAGCAGACGGTACCGTTCTTGTGTTGTTTTCATAACGTTTTAGCAAAGAATTGTGTCTGATTTATTTAGTTAGTTTCCCTTAAATTGGCGTAAGTAACATTAGGAATGATCAAATATTCTTATGGAATCATCTTATTAATATTTATTTTTATTTTTATTTCAGGGAAATCAATTATAGGCTTTTGAAATAATGTTTGTCTTTATGAAAAAAAATCTATGATTATAAGATCTTATTATCAATAAAATATTTTTTCGATATGTATTTTGACAGACTACGACTAAAAATATTTTTAAAACATCAAAGTAGTAGTTTTAAAGCTGCGACATGTTTTCAATTTTATACTGTTTCTTCACAAATTTCTATAATGAACATAATCGCAATTAATTTCTCTGAAATAAGTAACTTTTCTCTTCCAAAACCTTTTACGATTAGTTCTGAGAATTTCTACGATATGTAACACTATCGAGGCAGTCAAGAGTTATTTATGAAGCGTAAAAAATAATTATTACAAATTCATCAAGTTCCAAATTTTGCTGCTACACTTTTTAAAATCTATTTTTATATATTATAAAATTATATTAATACGCTGTACATCGAACAGCCTATTGTAGAAAATTTATGCTAACTTAAGTCCGTTTTGTTGTACATATTATATTTAATTTTTTTGTAAAAATAAATATGTCGTAATTATTCCATGTTACCCCTAAGCATCCCACATTGACCAAAATTTCTACTTTTAAACCCCGAAGAGAGGGGTGAGAATAATTTTAATTCCGTTCGTACCAATGTGTCTTCGCAAATTTTAGATTCGAATGTAAGTAGTCCAAGATCTATGTACTTTCCAACTGTAGAACCGTAATAAAGATATGTCTTTGTAATGTTGTAGGAAATCGACAGCGAATATCTCTGTCAACGAAGCGGCCGCGAGCAGAACTAGAGCGAAAATGTCGATTTGGAAACGCAAAGAAGAAACGAAAACGCAGAAGAATTGCAAAAAACGCCCTGCGCTCGGCTGCGACGTCTGTCCTAAACGCTTCAAGAGCAAGTACTTGTTGAAACAGCACAAACTCACGCATACGGCGGAGATCGCCCACGGATGCAAGACGGATGTGAAAGAGAATTCCGCGCTCACCGACACGGTGCCGCGAAACCAGGAAGCACTCTCGTGCGTAATGTGCGACTTTCGCTGCAACAAGAGGTCCACGATGATCGCGCATCTCTCTGAGAAGCACGAGGCCATGGACAACGACAGGTTCGCCAGCAGCAAGCGTGAATTCACCTGCATCGTCTGCGGCCTGGTATGCGCCCGCAAGGAGACCCTGAGGTCGCACTTCGTTCGCAAGCATACCCAGCATTACGGTTACTCGTGTGAGCACTGCGGCAAGGAGTTTAAGATCAAGGGCGACCTCACCACGCATACCAGACTGAACCACCGGGAGTCGCCAGTGATGTGCGACGTCTGCGGCAAGACTTGCCGTAACAGCCACAGTCTGTACACCCATCAGAAGCACGCGCATTACAAGGCGAAGTACGAGTGCCCGCTGTGCCATCGGCGCCTCGTCACTCAGGAGAATTTGGATCAGCACGTGCTGACGCAGCACGAGAGGAAGGAGAAGTCGGTATGCGAGGAGTGCGGCAAGACGTTCTTCGAGAATTACGATCTGAGGAAGCACATGAGGATCCACACGGGCGATAAGCCGTACAGCTGCACGGTCTGCGGCAGAGCGTTCGCCAGGCACAGTAGTCTGAGCCAGCATCTTCTTCTACATACCGGCGAGCGTATCTACTCGTGCGACGTGTGCAACAAGTCGTTTGCTCAGAAGGCGGGTCTCATCTGTCACAGGAAAATTCATTCGGGCGTTCTGCCGCCCCTGCCGGTCATACATATCGATCATATACTGAAGGAGTTCATTAAGAAATAAAATGAAAAGCGCGACTTGAATGTCGGTGCCTTACGATCTTTTTCGTTTAGCTCATATGATGAATAAACGATCAAATAATATAAGAATCACATCTCTGTGTCCAATATAGATATGTTACTGAGCGTGATTAATCGCTGAAACGTAGAGAAAGAAAACACCAAGAACAAGGCATTTGCTTGTAATGTATAATTGGTATTGATATGGAAAATTCAAATAAACCGAGTTAGTCTATTTTTATTTGCTTAATTTTATTAGAGCCGATTGTTCCAGTTTCTTGGTAAGTTAACTAATAGTTAATTCATATACATATGTCTTTGTTTTTTTCTTCAAATTGGACAAAGATAGACATATAATTTAACTTGGTTTACCGTGAAGTTGGAACCGGCCCTTAGTTCACGGAAAAAATATGTAGCTACCGTAGCTAAAAACTGCACGTGGCAACTAAATTTCAGTTGTAAAATATGAACAGCTAATATTTAGTTGTGATAGTTATTAAAAAATATTTTTTGTTACTGTACTTATTGTATTATGTGCGGCAGCAAACCATTTGTTGTGTTTTAGAAATTTACAGTTACGGCAGCAAAAATTTTTAGCACACCATGATTAGCTACGGTAGCGAAATGTTTTTAGCGTGTAGTTTTATTTGTTAAAGTTAAAAGCAATAAAGTGATAAAAAAATTATAGAGTTCATAATCAAATAAATAATGGGAAAGTTTCCGTGTGAATTGTTATTCATGCGAGATCGGAAGCTTGTTATTTCTTATCTCGACTTATTAATTCGTTGGCATAAATGTTACTAAATTTAATACATTCATCTCTTTGATTTTACATATTATTTCAGAGGTTCCGAAATATTGCAAGAAATATTACCATCAATAAATCAAGTTACGAAAACAACTCGGAACTTTATGTTTATAATACTTGAATTTAAAAAGTTTTCTATGAGATTTGGTTCGGTTTTTTTAAAAAATGTACACGTGTACAAATAATAAAGTATCATAAACATGTTTTATCATTTAAAAGCACACGCCAAGTAAAAAGTGAAATAAAGTGCAAATTACGAAGTATTGTTATGAAGTTTATTTGACTCCTGATTTGTAGTTAAGGATTATATACTAATTTCATGTACCTTATGCTTATGTACTTTTTACAAGCTATTACAATTTTGTGAATTTTAAGCCATACAAAATAACATTGCAAAATACCTACATTTTATAGTTTATTGTTACTTATGTTCTAAATGTACTAACACTGTTTTCATTTTTCATTAATTTTGTTTAGCGGTTTAATATGATATATGTATTATGATATAAACTAGCTTCAAGTGGATATATATTTCTAAAGTTGTTGAAATAAATTGTATTAATTATGTACGTACGTGCAATAATATTTTATTTTATAAAAATATTTCATTTCTTTCGAACTTTCCCCGTTTTATGGCAATTTCGTAACTAATGTAGGTCGCAACGGACTGCCATGCTGATCAACAAGAAAGGTAGTTTTAACTCCTCGTTTGTGAGTACCTTTGTTGATCTGTGATCTCTAATTAAATTTATATAGGTTAAATAAAAAATTTTAGCGTATAATTTACCGCGATATAAACGATATATAACTGTTCTTTCTAATGATTATTTTATTCGTAATGTTTCAGGCACGAAGGCGGATACAATCCCCGTGGTATTTTTATCTTTGATAATGAATCGCTGGTGATGAAGAAGTGGCAAATTTTGGAATTCGACGGCAAGCCGTATTATGCGTTCGTGCCCGAAGGCGATGCACCTTTGTCGGACGAGGATATACCAGAGCAAGTAGAAGAGAAATCAGAGGAAGACTGTATGTTAGAAGAATTAGAAGAAGAGGAAGTAGAGGAAATGGAAGATAAAAATAGTAGTATACAAAAATTTAAACAGGAATGTCACTTGGAGGAAGAAGAATACGATTCTATGGAAAAATTTTATAGCGATGATAGCGTCCTTAATGGAAACGTCGAGGAAACGGAGAGACTGAGTATGAAGCCGATCATACTAAATGGCAGCGAAGCTATGGATAATAATACAGCTGGGGATCTGTACCAGCTGAAAGTACAGGGTAGTATGGTGACTATTGAGAAACTTGCATCCAACACGGAGGTAGACGTGAAAGTGGTCGAAGACCAGGAAGAGGATGCAAAGGGAGATGATGAGGGAGAGGTAGAATATCTTGAAGAAACGGTAGATGTACCAAGCATACCTTCTAGCGAGAAAGCATCAGCTGCGAAAACGCCTGCAAAGAGCTCCAGTGAGGCGCTGAAGTGCAAATTGTGCTCGGAGATATTCGACACGGTGTTGTCCTTCAGGAAACACGTGGCGTGGATCCATAAGAAGAAGATGTGTATAAAAGAGGACGGGGCTTACGTGTGTGCCGTGTGCGGCTTTAGAACTCTGAAGAAGACCTCGTTCGCCGCTCATCTGGACAGGAAGCATGATACTTGGTCCAGGAAACGATCCGGCAACACGACATTTCCTTGCGAGGTTTGCGGCTTCGTTTGCAGATCGAAACATTCTTTGCAGTCCCACTTTACGAGGAAGCATACGGATAATTATGAGCACCAGTGCAGTTGTTGTTCAAAAAAGTTCAAGGTCAAGGGGGACCTAACAAATCATATACGATTCCATCACAAAGAGAAACCAGTCAAATGCAACGTATGTGGCAAACTGTGCCTTAATACCGGCTCACTGTACGTCCATCAGAAATGGGCACACTACAAGCCCAAGTACGAATGTCATATCTGCAAAAGACGTATGGTCACACAAGAGAATTTGGATCAGCACTTGCTGACGCAGCATGAGAAACGTGATAAGATAGTCTGCGCGGAGTGCGGTAAAACCTTCGCGAAGAAGGACTCGTTCAAGAGGCACATGGTGGTGCATACGGGATGCAAACCGCACTCCTGTATGATCTGTACCAAACCCTTCGCGCGAAGGTCACAGCTACGCCAGCACTTGCTTATCCACACTGGCAAGCGACCGTTTGTATGCGACATATGCGGCAAATCGTTCACGCAAAAGCCGGGATTGATCTGCCATAGAAAAACTCACCCTGGTACACATCCACCGCTGCCCGTGATGCCAATCGCAGATATCGTTAAAGAGTTCACCGACGGATACGTGCAGGAAAATAATACCCGTGAAAATGAGGAGAAGGTTGACGAAGAAATGTGAACGTTCGGCTCATCATGCCGATGCAAGTGCCGAAATTGGTTTTTTACCAGTGTCTAAGATAGCAAAAAGCACACGTTTGTTATGGAATAAGAATGGTAGAACAATTGAGAAACTTCATGTAGGATAGAAATATTACAAACGTCTCAAGCGGTAATCGTTAAATAAGCAAACGAAATTTTTATGTTCGCGTACAGAATTATCTTTATCACAGTGTGATACAAATTGTCTTATTTATATCGGGTCTGCGGCCAGATTACACTTTTTCACCGATTTGATCTATAGCTATCTGCACTCCTCTCATATCATAGCATGTGGGCTGCTCGCGGAGACGTAAGACGCTCAATTTCAGGAACGGTATTAGCGGCAAATCGTAGGGGCTTCAACGCATGTTGCCCCGCGCGATGTTCAATTAAATAATGTAAAGTTAATAATAAAATGGCATAGATATTACTATTAAATTTAACTTTATAATATCAAAATCGTAATGATATCTCAATAAACTGAACATCTCGCGGGGCAACATTGAAGCCCTTACGATTTGCCGCTAATATCGTTTCTGAAATCGAGCGTCTTACGTCACCGCGAGCAGCCTACATGCTATTATATGAGAGGAGTGGGAATAGCTATAGGCAAAATCGGTCGAAAGGTGCGATCCGCCACGGGTCCGATTTATATAATTGTTCTCTTGCGCATACTGTTTTTTTATGACAAACTTACAATAATAAGTAAATAGAAGCAAGTGACAAAAGGCGGTGAACAATAGAAAAATAGGGAGTAAAGTATCAATAAAATTATCGATGATGCTAATTTCTCTAAAAAGTTAATTAGTTTTCTTTTAATTTAATTTTATCAAGTCATAAAATGTCTGCAATTATTCACTAATAAATCTGACTAATAAAGTTTATGTTTTACCGGTACATGTTGTTCAGATGTCGCAAAAAATTGTTAGTATTTAATTTGTAAATTGAAACCAGTGATTATCTCAATATAATACACACCAAGAAATATAAGAACATACCTATTACAATAGAAGTATTCCATTGACAACAAAGAATGTCATCAGGTTTTAGGAGTTTGTGATCTACATCTTAATTTCTTTACATCCAAAGTTTGATTAAATCCATGAGGATAATTAAATATATATATAATAAATAGGTTTAAAATGTATAGAGAGATATATATAGGTGTAAATTACATATTTCTAAGAATAGAACAGTAATCTTAAACTTCTGTCGGCGTTTCAGTTTCTTGATATTTTTATCGTTAACAAAATTAAATACATGCTTATATATATATAATAATAATATAACATTTATTTTTGTGAATCGCATGCAACATCGCCAATAGGTTAAACAATGTATTGAAATTAATGAAGAAATATAATTGTAAATTATTTTGACTCGATACTATTTAATATCTTTTTAAACACTATTTTACTGGTTAAAGAAAAATAAGTTTTAGCTTAATCATATTTTTAATAATGCAAATGCTGATTTTGTGAGCAGAAAAAGGATTGTATTAGACATGATAATACAAATCGATCATAAAATAATGTAAGTATAATTGATAAATTAAAATTATATAAACTTTTCGTTTAATGCAATATTATTTTACAGAAGATAAATGTAAAAAGATCATGTAAACATTATATGCAATACCCAGCAAATGCAGTTATATAACTATCATATAACCTTGTAATGAAAGAAATATAACATGTACGTAACACGTGTATTAGTTGCAATTTCCCTCTAACGACATTACAGTTTTATAACAGCTATCTATTTGTACGATACAATGCAACATTGCTATAATATTCACATAACACGTTCATGATAATCAATATTATAAAATAATCAACTAATGAGAATATTCTTAAAAGTCGCTAGCAGTAATTAACAACATCAGTGATTTTTATTGACTGTATCTGGCAATTTTAATGATACAAAAAATTTATTGCGAAAAATATTACCTCAGCCAGGGTTTGAACCTGGACCTCCCTTCTCTCTAGGCGGGCGTCTCAACCAATTCGGTAATATTTTTCACAATAAATTTTCTGTATTAAAATTGCTAGATACAGTCAATAAAAATCACTGATGTTATTAAATAATAACTAATACGTAATAATATAGAATAATATAACAGTCGTAAAATATAATTATATGTACATGTGTAAAGAAAAATTACATAACTTTATACAGCATCCGTTACATGTTATATTTCAATATTACATAATAATTATATTCTGTATTTGGGTATTTTGATATTTCAGTTTTTTTTGTGTAAGATATTTTTATATGTGTGTACATTTTATGCAAACCTATATAATACTACTTTATTTGGTCATATAAATTTTTATTTTTACAAATTAAAAAATTTTGTTCTTAACAAAAAACATAAGATCATCCAAATATCTCATTATTTCTTACGTTATTAAAACGATAGATTTAAAAACTGAAGTAACTTAAAGATGGAAAAATCAAAAGTAATTGATTTTATAATGGTGCTAAGATGACTCTAATGATGCTAAATTACGTAGAGAATGATCTTTTTATAAATGAGAAGAAAAAATGTAATCGTTCTATTGAAATAGTTGAATTAAGCATTGAAATAAGCTTTTAAGTGATTTAGCCCGTTCTGTTTAATCAGGAAATATATTTTTGGAAATAAATTAAGTAAAAAGTACAATGTAAAAATTTATAATAGTACATTAAAAATGTAATAGTACACAATTAGATTTATAAACCAATTTCAAGAATTAACTCGACAATAACTGGCAAATATATTTTAATTAATTACACGACGTTTCGGCCAGATAAGATAATTATCTTACCAGCCTTTTACAATACCTGACGCTTCTATTAGTTTTTAACCATATTGCTATAGTGATTTTATTCGACCATGCACAAAATTGCATACTTCGACATGTCACCCATTTGCTGTCATACTTAATGGGTCAACACTTGAAAAGGACCAGTATTACTGGCCGAAACGTCGTGTAATTAATTAAAATATATTTGCCAGTTATTGTTGAGTTAATTCTTGAAATTGGTTTTTTATTCACTGGCGATCCACCTCTTCAAAATTAGATTTATAAAATTATATGATCATATTAAAAATAATATATGTATATATGCAGTTTTCAGAAAACATTTGACCATATTATTATGGAACATTAACTGTACATTCATACAGAGACGAAACAAACAAAAAAGTTTCAATAAATGTGGAAATTTAGTAAATTTTCATGTTTTTATCTCTAAAATATGGTGTTTAATATTTGGCTGAATGTTTTTGAGACATTTTATATAAATTTGGCCTCCTTCATTTCAAAATATTATTTTTTTATATATTTCATTATATTTATGTCATTTGGAAGATGTTTTTATTTAATCCGTTCTTAATTTTGCTTAATCTATTACATGTTTTAATTGAACGGTCAAAATAAGGATAAGTTCCATAAAATATATTATTAATACTCTTGAATTCTTTATTTTCTATCTCAGAATTAGCATTTCTTATTGGTATTTATAATAAAAAAATAATATTTTGTAAAGGAAAGCTATACCGTAAGCATATTAAATACAATATTTGATGTATGGCGTAAATTATTGTATTTGTATTTTGTATTTATACAGTGAATAAGTTTCTTTTACTTAGAATCACTGTTATTATGTGTGGAGAAACAATGTTGTTTTTTTAAATAAAAAAGTATAAAATGATTTTCTTTTAATGTAGAGGATAATTCATTTATATGTCAAGAAAGAATATTAAAACGCACTAGGAGTCAACACGAGACGTTATGTCTGAAATATATATGGTTTTATACATTGAAATATATGTTCGTTGACTCTGAATGCTCTTTTTTTATTTTATTATTGGAGTCTGTTAATCTTTCTTAATTTCATTTATATGTAATATTATTTCATATATATAAAGTATGCGAAGCAATTATTGTTGATTTCTCCATGCACAATACATATTCTCTGGAGCATACATTAATATTAATTTATAAGCAATAGCACACTGAACAGCTTCGTATAAAAGACGTACGGCAGAATTAGTTTTCTTCAAAGATAACTGTGTTCAATAAAATTAGATTAGTAAGACATGTGCACAGATTGCCGTCTCAAATAAATATTTTTGACAACACTTTGCGTAAATTATCTTTAGATAATAATTTAGATAATAATTGAATTTAATTAGACTACATATATAAAATTAGAGAGTGTGTATATTATATATTTATAATATTAAGAGTGTGATCCTGTTTTAACAGCCTCGATAACCTGATGAAACTTTTATATACCTATGCTATTATCGAAGACGATTTAGATTTTACGAAACATTTCGTAAAGTCACAGTACGAGATAAGTATACCTTGTGTTAATCAGATGTGCCGAGTTTAAATAATGTAATAATAATTTTTTCCCCAAACTTTTAGGAGTACAATCGATCTACTATCGGTTCTTTAAAAGTTGGCGAAGAACAGTCTATCACAATTGTGATTTCCTGAGGAATATCATAGAAAAATCCAAGTTAAAGTAAATACATAGGAAAAGCGTGTCAAAGAAGTCACGTTTGTCGCCTCATTTTGTCTGGGCGTAAAGTGCAAGTTTATGCTGAAAAAATATCTAAAAAAATATTCAAAGGAAAGGGAAGTCTTGCGTTTAAACCTGCATTGTGTGCTCTATTAATTTCATCATTTCACAATTCAGTAGAAAGAATTATCTTTATTTCTGCATGCATCACGAAGAGTTCCGAGTTGAAGGGTGAATTGCGACAACATATCGAAGAGACGCACACTTTCAAAACGTCGTATTTTTGTGATATTGTCTCTGCGACAACATTTGAATTGCGAGAGCACCATCTGAGAATACGTACAAAGGATTAGAGTTACGTACGTAACGATTACAATAATAATTGTCCTTAAGAAGCATCGCATGTATCGTACTTACAGTGATCAGTTCTTTTGAAACGCGTGCTGAGGGAAATTTGAGATGAAGACGGAACAACATCGTAAAGCTGCATAGCTAGAAGAGCTGTCACGTATGATAAGACCTTGAGCAGCAAGGATTCCCCGAAGAATCACATCAACATGATGCCAAAAGCTGGACAATAAGAGGTTCATGACCTAAAATGTATGTCAGCAGCATCTGCTGATGTATCAGATCATATATCTACGATATACATGTGATCTGTGGTTAAAGCTTGATGTGGAAGTCTGATCACATAAGAACCAACTTGGATTTTTCCTTCGGCTATCCGCGATTTCGATATCAAGGATCTATTGAAGACGAAAGCGGAGAGAAATAATTAACGCCCTAAAGGAGATGTAAAACGAAACCAAGACGTGCAGTGTATTGATTTATTTTTAATTTTTAATTTGTGGCGGGTATAATTGCAGGGAGAAGAAAATATTAATATTATTGTAAAAAGAGTATTTTTACATTTTAATAAATTTTACAATCTTATAAAAAACTACTATTTCTATTTTTTTACCAGTCATAGTAAAAAAAGAAATTTTTCATACTCGCGTTCGCACTGCTATGGGATTTGTCCTAAATATTCTTTTAGGACAACATAGTCATATATTCAAGGCTTCTGAGTACTCACCGTAGCCATGGAATCGTGACGTCAGAAGCGAGAAACGACACGCTGAGAATAAGGCTGTAAATAAAGTCCGGATATTCAGATATCCGTGCAAATCGTCTAACAAATTATCCGGATAGTTCAAGGATTCGAACTTGAATAATTGAATAATAAATATCTCGAATAAGCCGAATAATAAATTATCTGGATATCAGCCCTAATTGAGAAGTCTTGCATTATATTTTCAAGTAAAAAGATATTTAGATAAAAAGCGTACTTCTAAAAATTTCCGGAACTAATCTTTTCTGTCAATAATCAATCAACAGCCGTAAAATGACTGTGATGCAGCCTTGGCCATGCAGAATGACTGCACGTGTTCACGATTCTTTTCATATCACAGGCATTTTGCGACTGTTGATTGACTGTTAACAGAAAAAAAGTTAGTTGTCGGAAATTTTTCTAAGTATACTAAATCTGGAGTGTTTTTTTAATCCAAATATCTGTCATTTCTCGCTTCTGACGTCACGATTACCAACATAGCTGGAGCCTTAAAAGTATATGTAAATATTTATGTTATTTGCTAAACAATCGAATATTTTACTTGGAACGATGAGGATGCCTGACGCAAGTATTTTTGGTTTAATAATATTAATATGATAATTCTCTATTGATCATTATTTCTTTTAACGAAAATATCTGTATTTAAGTTTTTAGACTGGAAACTGAAGATTGCTAATTGATGTCATATTTTGGCTTAAAAAGTATGTATGTTGTATTTTCGTTATTGACATGGCATATTCGCATATCGTGTATTCTCCACATAGAGCGACGGTACTTAAATTGTGAAAGTGGTAAATGGGACAATAAAGCAGTAATAATATAATCTTTTCCCTCATTTTACTTCACCTTCTATAGTTACCCAAATATACATCTTTAATCGCGTAATGTTCCTCGCTAAAAGAAAATATTTATTAAAGTTTTGTATTATTAAGCAATGCGAGTTGAAATATTAGCTATAAAATGATAAATTTAATGAAATAATTGTTGAGAGAACACTGCACATTCTTTTGTATAATCTTTTCACTTTGAAACTTGGAAACTTTTCACAATGTATTAAGTTGATATTTTCCGTAAAGCCGGCCACAGTCGAAGTTATTTCGGGTGCAATGCGGATAAATCGTTAAAGGAAGATCATATGAGCGAGAGAGGCACTTTTCTCATATCTCTGAGCGTTTCTTGACTGAATATATATTTTTTTATGTCGTAGGTTTGATTTACTAGAAATGGACGGGATCAAGAACGAAGGCATTCGGGACTCCCACGCATTCTTTATCGAGACGTCTTCGAGTATCGCCGAGATAATCAGCACGGACAGCAGTAAAGAAAACAGGAGTGTAGTGAGACGCATGCATTACGCCTGCGACGTTTGCTCGTTCCCGTGTCGGACGAAGGGAAATTTAAAGAAGCACATGCAGCTCCACAAGAATATGTGCAGAACCTGCAACGAGCTGTTCGTCTCGTCGGAGAAGCTGGAGCTTCACATGGTCGTGAATCACGGCGAGCCCAAGTACACCTGCAAGCTGTGCTATTCCGTCGTGTGGAACAAGCCAGACATGAAGAAGCACTTCCTCATGAGCCACTTGGATCCTTTCTGCAACACGTGCACCGCCTGCAACAAGGTGTTCCAATCCAAGTACGCGATAGAGAGGCACATGTACAGCCAGCACACGAAGCTCTCGGTTGCGTGCACCATTTGCAGACGCGTCTACAACAGTTTCCACGCGCTGAGGGCGCACACCAAGCTCATTCATCTCAAGACCGGTTACCAGTGCGAGATCTGCAAACGGCGCCTTCTCTCGGCGGACTCTCTGGAGGCGCACCTACGTCGGCACGAGGGCACGCGAAACATGGACAGCTATATCTGTACGACGTGCGGAGAGACCTTCCTCACGAAAAACAAGCTGAACAAACACGTGACCATCCACGGCGAGATCAATCCCTACGTATGCCCGGTCTGCCAGAAAGCCTTCGAGAAACGGGCGAACCAGGTGCAACACATTTTGACGCATATGAGTAACGTTTACGCGTGTGATATATGCGGCCTGAGATACTCGCGAAGGGCTGCCCTGATATGGCACAGGAAGATGCATCCTGGACCGCTCGGCAAACTGCCGGTTATACCCGTGATAGGCATTGTGAGCGAATTTGTTAAGAATTATATTAGCAAAACAAAAACCTTACCGAACACTTAATCCGAGTCCGACAGTTAAGTCTAGAAAGTACTAATCGAATCATTTATTTAAACGTTACTGTTTCTTTTGTAGAGTTAGGACTTTTATAAAGATACATTTTCGATAAGCGCGTCATCTTTCTATAAGTATCTTCAGCAAATTGCAATTATAGGATAAAACATTTGTTATTTCTTCTTTTCTCGGGTGCATTGCAAGTTTCTGTTAATGTTACGATGCTATATTTTGTAATAAACGCAGTTCGATTTATATGATTACTTCGTACATGTACAGCGAATTTACTTTAAATATACGAAACGATTAATCCAAATTGCCTTTCCTTCAAATTGTTTCCGATCAATTTATTCCCCCGACAATTATATACCGATCTGTAAAATTTACGTACTCGTCGTAGTCAGGTAAGTTACCACCATTAATTAATTATGTCGCATAATTAATTATGGTATTGATACACACTCTTTTTTTTAGGTGATCCGAGAGTTTTCTGTTGCATATTGAAAAGCCGGTATTTAATACTCTTTCCCAAATCTCTGCAGACTTCTAATCGCACTTAGGAAGGTAACTTGAAGAGTGACGGCAATAAAGCATCCAAATGTTTATTAAATCGCCTCCAGTAATCATTGTAAATTCTTCTCCATTACTTCCTCCTCGTCCTTATCAAGCTCTCGATGATTTTACTCGACAGGCGTTATAAGCAATCGTTCCTTCAATTCATAGTTGATGGTAACGCGAACTTTTGCCTTTTTATGTTTTAGAGTGGATCCGTTGAACGTTGAATTCAACGTCCCGAAACCATTCGCCAGAATCGAATGCGAATGGACGAAAAGAGAAAAGTCGTTGACAGAACATGAAGGACCACCGGAAAAGATAAATGCAAACCTAACGAGGGAGAAGCATGGTCCGCGGGACGCAACCGAGGAAAATCGACCGACTAGAAGAAAGACGTGTGTAGAGTGCGATCACTGTCGCCGCAAGTTTTTGAAAAAGAGCAACCTCGCCGAGCATCTGAAGCAGCATAGGCACAAATGCGCCGACTGCCCGAAGACCTTCAGCCTTCGGCGTTATCTGGTCTCCCACGTCGAGAAGAATCATCGGCAGCAAATGTACGAATGCAGCGTGTGCAAGTACAAGAGCAACAACAAAGGTACCCTGAAGAATCACTACATCCGGCTGCACACGAGCAACTACGACTACGCGTGCGACACGTGCGGCAAGCAGTTCAAGATAAAGAAGGCCCTGAATCACCACGTGAAGCAGAATCACAGCGAAGCCCCGCCGATCGTGTGCGATGTCTGCGGCCACTTCAGCAAGAACCTCCATGCCCTCAAAGCTCACATGAAGTACCGGCATTACAAGCCGGAGTTTGTCTGCCGGATATGCCGGCGGGGTATGACGACACAAGAGAATTTGGAGCAACATCTTATGTGGCATGAAACCAGGGAGAAGGTACTCTGTCCTACTTGCGGCAAGAGATTCCGGGGACGCGACCTGGACTCGCATATGAGAGTGCACACTGGGGTGAAGCCGTTCCCTTGTCCTGTTTGCGGAAAGACTTTCCGACGGCAAACTGCTCAAGAGCAGCACGTGTTGATCCACACCGGAAAGAGACCTTACATTTGCGATATTTGCGGTCAAGCGTTCGCCCAAAAGCCCGGCCTGATCTGCCACAGAAAGAGACATCCTGGCCCGCTGCCCCCGCTGCCTGTAGTCTCCATCAAAAACATCGTCACGGAATTCACGAAAGAATACGCGACGAAAAACGCAGTCATCAAAATTGAATAAGATATACACAAGTTTGTCGTATTTCTGTTGGATACACCTGACGAAATTCATTGTGGATTTTTATTAAATACTTCTCATGATTACATAGGAGAAATATATCTGACATATAATTCAACATCTGACATAAAAAGAGCTGTAAAAAAATAAGACTCTCGGAAAAAGATACTTATTTAAATAGTACTTTTTATCTATCTAAAAGAGATACATATTTTGTAGATATAAATGTGATATTTGTATAGAGATCTTATAAATATTCTTATAAAAATTGCCCTTTTATCGATATACATAAACTTTTTGAGCAATCATTACATATACAGGGTGTCGGATTCGATTTGGACCACTCCAAAGATTATAGTAGATTGGGTCAAACTGAGAAGAAAAGTTATATACCATTTTACAAAATCCGTAATTATTATCGCGTAATTAAGAAACACGTCTGAGCCAATAAGTGCACGGAGGAGCTGAAGGCCGGACTCGGCAGACATGCAAAATGGTGTATTATTCTCCTACCACCAGAAAAACTTTTTCGGCGCGGTGTCATATGTCGCGCGTTCGCTCGCTGCGCGCCGTTCGCCCGCTCACCGCTCCCCGCTCGCAACCATCTCTCATCGATCGATGCGTGACTCCACCTCTCGCTATCGGATCTCGAGAGATGTCAACAAATACACCATTTTGCATATCTGCCGAGTCCGGCCTTCCGCTCCTCCGTGCACTTATTGGCTCAGACGTTTTTCTTAATTACGCGATAATAATTACGGATTTTGTAAAATGGTATATAACTTTTCTTCTCAGTTCGACCCAATCTACTATAATCTTTGGAGTGGTCCAAATCGAATCCGACACCCTGTATATACATGTATGTGTATCTACATATATGTATACGTATCATATATGTCACGTTTTATGTCACATTTTGAAACACAAATATTTTTTGCAATTTTCTACTGTATTTTGTATGTAATTTTAATAAAAATCATAATTTTTATCAATTTTGTATATATTAATTGATTCCTATATATGACAACAACTATGGCACGAGAGAATTAAAGAATACGTAATAATCTATTTATTTAAGACAAATTATGCTCTCAATTTACATTATTTTTTCAACAACTACGTAAACGCGCAATTATAATAATTTTATATAAATTATAATATCAATCTCCCCTCCAGAGTGTATTATTTTCTTTCATTTGGAAATATTTTCGGCAGTGATGAGATTTTAAATATAGATTAAATTTTATTGTTATCGAGAAATAATCATAAAATTTCTATTAAGTAAATGTCGTTAAATAACTATTCAATTTTTAATAGTACCAGAACGTTGCACTTAAAATTATTTCACGTTAAATTACAATCTATATTTGGGATTTGACTTAATGTAATGATATCTTTGTATTTCTCGCATTCTCTTTATAGATTAAAAATATTTTTGTGTAAAAAAAACTGGAAATCATTCAACACTCTTAATATCCCAAGTAAGTAAGCTCAGTATCTAGCGGTAGAGATCCTGCATCGTGTGTAATAAAATTTAATTCGTTCGTAATTTATGTTTTAGTGATTCACTCGTGGATCCTCTGAACGTGGACACCAATAATATGGAGCGCTCGCCCGAAACCATAGAATGCGTACCCGAATACGACTTATTGTCAGATAGAATCAAACGACACATCGCCAGGAAAAGAAAACGGGGAGAAGATCCGAGGAGGCAGAACTTGAGTCGGAACCAAGTCGACAAGAAGGAATCTAAACTTTTCTTGGAATGCGCCACGTGCGGCAAACGTTTCAGCCAGAAAGCTACCATGATAAAACACATGAGCCTGCACAAATATCAGTGTCAAACCTGCTGCCTGAGCTTTGGTCTGAAGCGAGAGCTCAAGTGCCACATCATGAACGTTCACGGACCTCTTCTGTATCCCTGCAGCATCTGCGACTACAAGAGCAACAACAAGTGTACCCTGAAGGACCATTTCATACGGAAACATACCAGCGGCTTCCAGCACTCCTGTACGGTCTGCAAGAAGCAGTTCAAAATAAAAAATGACCTAAAGCAACACATGAATCAGGTGCACAGCGGCGAGCCGCCTATTATCTGCAGCATCTGCGGACATGCCTGCAAGAACGTACCCGCCATCAAGGCGCACATGAAGTATCGACATTACAAGCCAGCTTACGAGTGTAAGATATGTAAGCGTGGATTAACCACGCAAGAGAATCTTGACCAACACCTGATCTGGCACGAGCGAAAGGAGAAAGTCGTCTGTCCCACCTGCGGCAAGACTTTCGGCCAGAAGAGAGACTTGGATCTCCACCTGAGGATCCATCAGGGTATCCGGCCGTTCTCCTGTCCGGTCTGCGGTAAAACCTTCCCAAGAAAGACCGCGCAAGAGCAACACATATTAATTCACACCGGCAAAAAGCCGTACATCTGCGACATATGCGGACATACTTTCGCGCAGAAACCGGGACTTATCTGCCACAGGAAGCGACATCCCGGACCGCTGCCGCCGTTGCCTGTCGTATCCATTAAGAAAATAATCATGGACTTTACGCAAGAATTGGTCTCCTCTACGCAACAAGACAAAATAGATAGCTAAATATATATTAGCAAACAAATTGCTTCAACGTATCGGCGATGAGAGTAATTAAATTCATTTACATTAATACCGGGATATACATAGGATTAATTAAATTTGCAAAAAGCACGCGACATCTATTGTTTTTAGCAATTCACGAATTTTGCAATTTCTTTCTTTCAATATCGAGATTTCCCTAGCGGAAAAAATTTCTTCAAATAACTACAAAAATTGACTCGAAATAAAAATTTGTAGAAATTTTTATATTTTCGTTGAAACACTTTTTTTGCAAAAATATCTACGAAATAGTACCACAAATTACAATGTTCTCAAATCAAGAAATTATTGCAAACAGTATTTCATGAAAATGTACAATTTTGTAAAAATTTGTACAAAACTTTACTAGTTTTAAAAATTTAAGAAACAACAAAATCTTAGAGAATTAAAACATCTGCTTACTCGTAGAATATTACAAAAATTAACAAAAGTGTTTCAATTCTAGCATTTTCATATTAACTTTTATAAGATTTCTTTTATTTACGTAGAATTTCTTAGATTCTGACAGTTATATTTAATTTTTTTGTAGAATTTTGTAGAATTATTTCCGACAGGGTTCTCTTAAAAAAACAATTTTCTTAAAAAATGCAGTTTTTAGAATGAACAGTTGACACAATCGACACATTGATCTATTAAAACAATAGTTAAATAATAATAATCCAGTCTCTGTCGTGGTTAAGTCAATTCTAAATAACATAGTTTTTCATTAGGCGTATCACCTAATTAAAAATTTACCAAACTAACACGTATTTTACATAAAAGTGGTGAAAAGTGAACTTTTTGATAGAGAACAATTTTGTAAATTCTAAGCATAATTAACGATGAATATTTTTCGGTCCTATTTAGATATAAATCAAATTGAAATTTAAACGCCCATTGAATTAGGACCTAGGCAAGGTGGTGGCCATTAAATTGCTTAGTGAATCCATATACCGTATTTTTCCTTCTCTGTATTGCGCGCCGTTACTATCGGACATATAACACAGATTTTCCCCTCGGTAGGATCATTCTCGTCAGTGAATTCACATGTTCTAAAAATCGCAGAGCGATTTTTACAAATTATTTTAACTTAATTTTAATGCTATACTTAAGGAAAAATACGGTATATGGATTCACTAAGCAATTTAATGGCCACCACCTTGCCTAGGTCCTAATTCAATGGGCGTTTAAATTTCAATTTGATCTAAGCATAATTGTTTATTATAAAAGTGTCCATTTATTTAAAAAGACTGCTATTAAATCTATACGCTTTTCAATCAACCTTTTATACGCGACACATGCGGGAGTCGGGATCGGCTTCGGAACTGTCGAATTAACTGCTTTTTTATTACAATTACATAATTGTAAATTGTTTTACATTCGTTATATAAATTGTTCTAATTCTATGTATAACTTTTTAGGGAAGCAAAATTCGCGGAAATTGACATTCGAAAGTTTTTATACGTGCGAGTACTCCATCGTATTTCAAAATTATGAAAAAAAATTTTATTTGCATGTTTACGTTGCAGTGTATATAAATAATTATGTATTACTTCTTCTAAATAAAAGGAAAAAATTGCCTAGTAATCTTGATATTATTTTTTCTAAATTTATAAAGAGATGATTAATTATCAGAACATTAAAAATAAATGCTTGGGTACAATGCGCATAATAATTTGTTATATAATTATAAAGGAAAGTCCCATATTATGCGATAGGCTCCTAATATGAGATAGCGGATTTTCTGCTAAATTAACAGGCTGTTGGTTCCATCATGAATTTATTGCTCTTGGAGAGAAATCTGTTTAGTGGAAAATTGATTGTTAGATCGTGTAATCTTTGAAGAAAGATTTGTGATTGTATTTGAACGTTGAAAACATACTATCTCACATTAGAATCCTATCTCATAATAAAGGACTTTCTTCTTTGTATTTTTTTTTGTAGCTTCTTCCATATTTATATATTTATAAGATAGTGATCTGTTGCCGCTTTTATTTGTTTTACAAGACTAACGTATATTTAATATCGTAGCTAACAGGACAAAATAATGTTGTTTTCTTTTAAAAAATTATTATATTTGAAGTCTATCCGAAGGGAATATTTCCAAGTTAGCTGTAAAATCTTGTAACTTAATTTTGTAACGGTTGTGTAACTCGTCCTTATAGGTTCTATTTTACTTTTACAAAAGCCAAGTTTTGCAGAATTAACATGTTAGTATATTGTTAATGTTTCTCATGTTATCGCATCTATTTGAAGACAAGTGGTAAAAAGGGTAGGTAGCGCTCACACAGTGAAGAAGTAAAAATATAAATCATTAAAGATTTCTACAAGTAAATTATAAAAATGCTAGCGTTAATTTGTCAGCGGGAAATCGTTTCAATTAATGTTTGCTTCCCTGCGAAATTCTGCCGTGAGACGCGTATTTTTACTATCCTCCCCTTCTTTCAGGCAACGACGGGGCAGATCGCGCGCCGTTCACCAGTGCGTCAAGTGCGGGGCTCGTTTCTGTCACACGCGCAAGCTCGTGGAGCACCTGAAGAATCTGCACAACATCGACCGGGCGTTCAGCTGCGACGAGTGCAACAAGACATTTCGCAGCCCGATGAACATAGCTCGCCACAAACTGATCCACACGGGGCTGAGAGTGTTCGTCTGCGATCTCTGCGAGTATCGCACCAACCAGAAGTCCAATTTGGAGTGCCATCGCCGGCGGCACGCCAAGGACTATAGCTTCAAATGCGAGACGTGCGGCAAGGGCTTTTTCCACAGGACCGAATACCTGGAGCATCAGAACGCGCATACGAATAAGAATCTGTATCGTTGCGAGCACTGCGGCAAGCATTACTTGTACAAGAAGAACTTGTCCGTGCACCTGATGACGTATCACGCCGGCAAACAGACCGCCGCGGCGACGAGGAATGCGAGGGCCAGGCACGCGTGCAAGTTCTGCCCGGAGAGATTCGTGTACAAGAGGCTGCTGGAGAGGCACATGAAGAGCCAGCACGGATTCGCGGACGCCCCGGCGAAGCACCTGTGCGACGTGTGTGGCGCGGAATTGTCGTCGAGGAGACGACTAATGGTGCATAGGCGCAGTCACGCGGGCGTAAGGATTTTTGAGTGCGACACGTGCAACAAGAGGTTCGCCAGTAAGGAGAACCTGGGCATCCACAAGCGGACGCACACGGGCGACAAGCCGTACGTGTGCCCGCAGTGCGGCCGCAGCTTCACGCAGAGGACATCTCTGGTCCTGCATCAGCGGTACCACTCGGGTCACAGGCCTTACCAGTGTCAGGAGTGCGGCAAGGGATTCGTGTCCAACACCTTGCTCAAGAGGCACAGCAAGGTGCACGAGAGGGCCAGACAGCAGATGCTGTGAGACGGAACTTCCGAATCCGAATACATTTCGATTCTCTGTATAATTAGGATTGACCTGTCGACTGCGATTGTAATATTTTGTAATAAATGCAGCGTAAGCAATTTGGAATGAGAAATGATTTTACGTCTTACAAATTTGCGATTGAATCTCGTTCGCCACCTGCGGCTCTTTAACGATCTGCAATCCGTGAGTTCTCCTCAGCTGCGGAAACACACTTATCCTAGGTAACGAGAAATGAGTGTTAGTAGAACATCAGTTACGTTGCGACGGCACTTTATGTAAATGTGTATCGATTATTGCAGCCAGTGGACGAATAATTACGATTTGAAGATGAAGAACGAGGACCTGCCTGATCTTGGACAGAAGTGAGTTGAATACAATATTAAGAGATTACAGGACTTTGAAAGTTTTTAAAAATTGAAAACTCTTCTTTCATTTTCCACTGGTTTCAAATCGTAAAGAATGGAGCTCACGATTAATAATTATAAGTAAATTATTAATAATAAAACTTACAAAGTCTATTCCCCGAAACTTTCAACACGGTTTTCTCAAAACAGTATTTTTGAAAACCATAACTCAAACACGGTTTATCCAATTAATTTTAAGCTTAAAAGTTTTAATAACATTTTGTTTCGGTTTACAGTTATTTTCAATCTTTTTCGTAAGTTATAATAAAAATGAATGAAATTTTCATGAAAAACCAATTCTTATGTTTAAATGTATTAAACTTCGCGAAAAATATTATTCATTAAAATATCAATGAGAATTAACAAAAATTTTAGAAATTGACATCGAAAACCTTTCTTTTTATGTCATAAAATGTTTAAATTTAATTTTTAAACTAAGTTAAATTAAAGTTTAATCGCTGGCTACACTTTTTAAATAGCACTGAAGAGAAGAGCCACCCAGATAGCACAAAGATGAACATAAGTTCACAGAGAATTCATTTTAATGAAAACATACAGAATTAGAAAAATGAATATCTGAAGAATTCTTGAAGAATTAGTCTCAATCAGTTCGTCTTGAAGTATTCTTCTGAAGTTCATTATAATGAATACTTCGCGATTCAGTACTGTGAATACTTAAAGAATTTATGAGGAATTATTTGTCATGCGCGAGTATCCGCTAACCGCCATCCGGACGTTCTTGTGCAGCGTGTTACCACGTGCAATATTTTGTGTGCGTAACGTTATGTGCAATAAGTAGTTCTATTGTGTAAAAGAAAGAATCGAACGACGAGAACCGAAACGGAAGAATCATCCGATTGTCAACGAGCTTCGGTTGCGAGTATCTCACTGTTGAGTGAGAAATTATAATAATGGTGTAATGTTACTGCATATTAGATGTGTACATACATTGGGTAAATATTTTGTAATCCTCTTTGTTCTAACACTATTCCCCTTGAATTCATAAAGTTTACGTTTATTGAATTCGAGATGAATACTTTAAGAAGTTGTCAGGAAAACAATTTATGGTGCATGTAAATTCCTCTGTCTCTCTTATTGTATTCTTCTATGAATTCCTAAAGAATTACAATTCAGAAAAAAGAAAACTTAAAGAATACTTTGTGAATTCAGTGTGCTATCTGGGCAATCCCAAACTATATAGAAAATAGATCTATTACGAAATAGCTGTAAACCGAAACAAAATATTTTAATGAATAATGAAAGGTCTTTGTAGATATTTGTTAGCTTAGTGACTTAAATATTCATGGCGGCAGTTTGTGTTAGGGGAAATAATTGTATAGATCTGACGAAATCTATCTTAAACAAATTGCAATGTAGATAAATTATCGATTCAGGTCTGTAAAGCGAAATGACTCGTCACGGAAACGCTTGTCGTTTTGAACGGTTGCAGATTCGAAGGCGGCGAAAAGACCTGCGAGCTGTGCCAGGCAAAATTTCACTTCGTTACTAGACTGGTCGCGCACCTGAGGATAGCGCACGGCATCCTCCGGCCGTTCAAATGCATCACCTGCGGCAAGAATTATCCACAGCAGTTCATGCTTAACGCCCACGTGAAGAAGTCGCACACGCCGAAGACCGTGCCCTGTACCCAGTGCAGCTTCATGGGTGTCAACGTGGCCGACGTGGAGAGACACAGACGGCGACGACACCGTGCCCCACCGAAGTTCACGTGCGAGATTTGCAGTCAGGATTTTCCCGACAAGGATACTCTGATCGCGCACAGGACGATGCACGACTTCATGCAATATCAGCTATGCAACGCGTGCGGTAGCATCTTCAACGATGTGTACAGGTATTTTCTTGATCGCCGAATCTGCTGTTATCACCGAACACTAAAACTCAAATCATACACGTTTAGAGTTTTTCTTGAATTCAGACCAAGTCTAATTCTGTTTTTACAACCCGGTAAAAAATGTTTCTGCCATGAACATGAATAAATATATAGAAGTATATAAAAATATACGTGAAATATATCTATACATAGTTTTACATTGTATATTTCTATATAATTTTATACAATTTTACACAGATTTGTATCAATTTATAGATTTATACATGTTTTTATATTTAAAAAATTTTATGTAAAGAATTGCTTATTTATAATTTTATATAATACTATACAGGGTGGTCAATTTAAGTGTGGACATGGAAATATCTCGAAAACTATGTATCGGATCAAAAAAATGGTCGGAGTAAAAGTTGTTTGTCTCGAAGGGGCCTATCCATTGGAACCAAAACCCTGTGAGGGGGGGGAGGGGTAACTTTGAAATCTTCAATGGAAACCCCCATTGTTTATTATACTATTTTATTCTACTAATTAATATGAATAACTTTTGTCTGAAACATTTTTTTATTTACCTAATACTTTTTGAGATATTCAAGATAAAATTGATAACTTTTTCGATATTTAGCTCACGATATCTCAACAACGTTTGTTGAGGGACAATAACTGTTGTCGCAGGGAAAAGTAGTACAGGATTTTTTTATTTGATTTGGTCTCAGGAATATGCTGTTCCAATAGTGCTCCAATTATGGAAAATTTTTGTGTAATGTAACATCCACAAAATTTACATACGCAAAAATTTTTAATAATTAGAGCACTATTGGAACAGCATATTCCTGAGACCAAATCAAGTAAAAAAATCCTGTACTACTTTTCCCTCCGACAAATAGTTGTTGAGATATTATGAGCTAAATATCGAAAAAGTTATCAATTTTATCTTGAATATCTCAAAAAGTATTAGGCAAATAAAAAAAATGTTTCAGACAAAAGTTATTCATATTAATTAGTAGAATAAAATAGTATAATAAACAATGGGGGTTTCCATTGAAGATTTCAAAGTTACCCCTCCCAAACCTCAGAGGGTGGGGGTGGGGGGGGGGTCAATTTTGGTTCCAATGGATAGGCCCCTTCGAGACAAACAACTTTTACTCCGATCATTTTTTTGATCCGATGCATAGTTTTCGAGCTATTTCCATGTCCACACATCCTGTGTATTTATGCATGCTCATGCATGAAAAATTTTTTACTGGGAAATTTCCCGAACGCCCCTAGTAGCACAGTGCTTCGGCTAAACATTGGCCCAATACAACCAAATATTGGGCCAATATTTAACCAATGTTTGGCCAATGCACTGTGTTACTAGGGGAATTTCTACTAAAACAGCTCCTTCTTTGTTAACTTGATTTGTTTGTCAGCAGCCTATGTACTTAATCTGCTCTAGAAAATAAATTCTAAAGCTTCTCCCTTTGGAATTCAAAATAATATCACAATATCTTAAATCAATTATATGATATCGAGGTGAATTGTAAAGGAATATATTGCGTAGCCTGAAGGAACACAATCGTCTCTACCACTACGATTCTGCATCGGACGAGAAGTCGTTCGAGGAGTCCAGCGAGAACGGGTCCGAGTACAAATGCGACGTTTGCGGCAAGGTCTACAAGTATAGGTCAATGCTGAAGCAGCACAAGATCAGGGCCCACGATGACCCGTCGAACCATGAGAGGCGCAGGTACCTTTGTGCGCTGTGTGGCAAGGAGTTGAAGACCGCGAAGGGCCTCGAAATCCACAACAGATCGCACACTGGCGAGAAGCCGTATACCTGCGAGGTGTGCGGCAAGTGTTTCGCCTGTAAGACGCTGTTAAGGACCCACAATGTTACCCATACTGGAGAGCGGAAGTACTCGTGCAACGTATGCGGCAAGGCTTTCACGCAGAGGTCCACTCTGGTTGTTCACAAGCGATATCACACGGGCGAACGACCCTACGTTTGTCCTCGGTGCGGTAAAGGTTTTGTCACACGAACTGTCCTTAATACTCACATGAAGTCCTGTCGTTGAGGTGGTCTTCTCTTGTCTTCACGGGATTTATCGAGTCAACGCGAAGGAATCTAGATCACCCAAATGTTTGGGAAATATCCAACGGACATTTGAAGGCGTTACGATCTCTTAAATAATTTTTTATATTATTTTTTACTTGATAACGAAAGGCTTGGATAATGAATCCCTTCGCACAACTAAAGTTCCGAAGATATAACAATTAAAGATTCAACTTTTTTTACCTCAGGATGAATATATTTTAGATAAATATATTTTCTAATTTTAATGACGAAGAAACCGTCCGTGATACTAATAATAAAAAAGATCATATCTTTTTTTCACATATTAGTGTGACATCTATTGTTAAGTATAAGCGATGTAATAATGCATAGATTACTGCAATAAATAGATTTACATACAAAACATTACAATAAAATACTCTTTTCTTTATATTGTTTTGTTAGACTTGAGTAATAGAAAACGAAGAATATTTAAAAGTATCAATGAGATACATTTTCAACCCAACTTAAAATTGTAGTTTTATTACATTTTTAATATTTATAAAAATATTTTTGATTGTGATATTGTATAATGTTATTCGTTATATGAGAACATACAGGTATTAGTATTCGTTTTATAAAGTAGGTATAGTTGCATAGTTAATACGTTATTTTGATGTATATACATTTTTCTATAAACAAGCACTGCCATTTTAGATTACTATTTATTCCTTGTGGATAATGTAAGAAAATAAAGGGAAAAAATACAATTTAATTATTTTATGTATATAAATCGAAAGCTTTTATATATTAAATAAATAATAAACTTTATAATATGCACTATTATGTCCAAACATGCACATATATCAGTTATTTAAAACTTGAATAAAAATTGATTGTTAATCAGTTTTTATATTTTTATATTTTTATACATTATAGTGCTTGTTGCTCTTATAGTGCAATCACATTTTTCTTCATTCTTGGACAATTAAAAAAATTGTCTTTTTATCATTATTTTAATTATTATGTTATTTGATAAAAAAAGAAGGCATGTTCTATGACATTATAAAACATCAACATCAAAATAGATATAATTTTTTTTGCCAAATCAAAAACATTCAAAATTATTGACGAAAACAAGATCTTCAATAGAAGAATAGGATCGAGGTGGGATCTTCAATTCGAAAGTCGACTCCTTGTTCGTGCATTTTGCGATCGTATCGATAATTAATATCGTGCAGTATAGCACGATTTTGAGTATTGATATTCCGAGGTTTTACATGTATTGTCCTGAAATCTGCAATCACGTTCATTCAATCAGATTAGTGTCAGTAAATTCCGATTAGAGTCGTAAGAAACATTCCTACTTACGGGTTTTGCGTTCGGCTTGAAGCTGACATATTTCGAGTAAAGTTTCGAGACTTCTTATTATTCCGTCATACTGCAATCTTGTCAAGCGCTTGCAACGTATCAACATGGACACCAATAAATCGTCGAGCGATTCGCGATTGTTCCTAAGCTGCAGCATAACTTCAACTGTAAGAGCAGATATGTTTCCTCGTCCCGTTACGATTTATAATGACAGATACAGAATGCGTTCACCAAAAGGAGCTTACTTTGTAATTTGTTTTATAAAGTTTATATAACAATTTCGACAGCATTAGCAAATGTTTTATTTTACATCGTTACATCTCAAAAATTGATTACTAGCAGCTTATGTTGATTATATAGTTTGTAAAATACCTAATGTATTCGTGTATTGATTAATTATCAAACCGATCGTGTTTCTGAAATTCCGTGACCTGCTCTGATCCCATACATGCCCGCTGAACATGTGGAACTTAGCAAGGGGGACACTAGGCAATAGCAGGTAGTACATATCCTCGTAATGTGAGATGTTCACTAAAAATCAGACTTGAAAAGCTGAATGGTGCAATAATTCTCAATAAGTCTGCCGTAAATTACACATATATGCAGAAAATTTAACCTATTTTTATAAAAATTAATTTTTATGTTTACTAATGTCACTTTAAGAATCTGTAATAATGAAAAATAAAGAAAGGTTTGAAAATTATCTGTCTAATTGCGTTTAATCGAACTACGAAGACCAACGAACTTGAAGTTAACAAAAAAAAAACAGAAACGGATTCAAATCTATTTTAGCCTAAGAGAAAGTAATTTTGGAGCATCCGTTTAGCGGCATTTTGTTATACCTATAGTATAGGACACTGTCAAATCGGGGCAAGCTAACACCAAGTTGCGCCAGGCAGCGTCCGCTACCATGTGCTGCCTAGAGTCCGAGTCTCTTACGGATATGTATAGATACTTTAGCGTTTTTGATGCTCCATTTGCAAGAGCGTCGAGAGCGTGGTTTGATAAAGCCGGATAGTCCAACTTTAACAAAGTTAGCGCATGAAAACGACCTAGCAGACGCAAGTATCTAGAAAATAATTGAAACACATTGCGTTAAGAATACAGAATTGTCAACGATAAAAATAAATCCTGTAGTTGCGGAAAGTACACTTGAGATTTCCGTTTAACACAATTTATTCTTATTTGTGTATGCATATACACACACACATTTTTTTATAACGGGACACATAAAGATACCGCAAAAATATTATATTATGTTTATATAATAATATAACAATTTCTAGCATCTTTGCATACCTTGGGTTGTCGTGAGGGGCTTGCCATTCTCTGAAAGCACCGCGGAGATCCAGGGAGACTAGATGTTCACCAGATCCTTTGACAACTGTCCCCAGCAGTCGCAACACGTCTGCCACGCCGAAGTCTGCGTTTAATAGGCTCAGGATCTCCAGACTGCGCTGACCGCTGTAAAGGCCAATGTCCACGATGCTAGAACTTGGTCCAAGTTCTAGCATCGTGGACATTGGGCTTAAAACAAGTGAAACGATCAATTCTTAAATCCCGTCCGTTGAATCGACACGGGAACGGAAGAGATTACCGTAGAAAGTTTGCCAAGGCACAGAGCAGCGTTCCCCGATTACCCCATTTGTAGCCGAACACCCAGTTTGTCAGTATCAGTCGCCGCAGCTGCACGTCCTTGGCGCGTACGATCGCAAGAAAATCGGCGCCCGCCTCGGCTTGAGTGTTGTATCTGATCCTGATCTGCCTTGGCGAAATATACGGCCGCGAAAACGCGAGCTCCAGGCTGCGCATATGCTGTCCATATTTCGCCTGTCAATAAATAAACGTAAATAAATAAATTGATATTACGTCGGCATTTATGCAGATAACTGTCGAGCAGTACGACATGATAAAATTTCTAGTCAGGATAGTTTTCGAAGCGACGGTTAGACCGGAGATCGATGAGGACTCCTCGACAGATTCTTCGAGAAAGTTTAATTTTATAAAAATATTGTATTACAGAGCGAGTGTCTTTTCACTACCGAAATATTTATTCCCATCCTTTGCCTCTATTTTCCAAAGTGGATTGGTTTCTTCTCGAACTGTATTTTGTTCTTCAAGCTTACACTTTCGATTTTGCTCGGTCTTAAATTCTACCGTGATTCAATTAAGTTAAATTCACCGGGAAGAAACTTTCGCGGATGACGGAAAATTGTCTTACGGCTAGCTCTCCTGCTAGTGGAAAGTCGCCACGCAGATCGCGATCGATGAGGACTGTGACGGATCGCCAGAGCACGGGTGAGGACAGCGAGCGATTCCATGACCGGCAGACCTGGCTGACGCTGGCGCGATCGGCGCGATCGAGATGGCCGAATATCTGTGTCAATATCAGCTCAGGTAACTGATCCCACATCTCCCGCCTTCAGCTTGACCCGTCCTCATCTCTTCTAGGCGGTCGTTGGCCTAAATTATCGTTGGTCGTTTTATTCGGGTCCCGTTGCCGAACTTCGTCAATTGCTCTTGTCACAAGCGATCGATCACAAACAAGTGGACTGAAGTGTGTCCCGAAATGATGAAAGAATTTATTTCATACATCGGACACGTCATGTCTCATTAGTTAATTAATTACAAAGTATAACAATATATAACATTAATATAAATGCAATATAACACGCGTGTGTTTACGCCATGTGTTTTACAATTAGAATAGTTTCTAGTGTTTTTCCTTTATTATATGTATAGTTGAATACTTTAAAAGTTACAACATACTTGTAATAAAATATTATAAGCAACTTTGTCAATTTTAAAGATATTTCGAATTTACTTGCACCATGTATTTTAAATTGGTTCTGATTAAATCTGGTTAAATATGTTCATTTAGAATGAAACATGCATTAAAACTGAAAGTCTGTTTTTTGCAAAAGTAAAAATCATATAAAGGTGGAATGTATAATAAATGTTATTAATACAGATTTATTACCACAACTTTGAAAATATTAATTTATCTTCTTAATTTATTAATCTATCTTATGGCAATAAATTTGTGGCGATATTAATAGCTGTATTTTTAATTCCTTATTTTATAATTGCTGAAAGAAAAATGTTACATACGTATTTGTAAAATATTGCGTAACATTATACATAATTTATCGTTACGCGATAAAGCGACAAGTTAATTGTCTTTATTACGAGAATGAAAACGCAGTCCCCAAAATAAACAGTCGTTGATGGTTTCCGGTTAATAAATATTTAATTAAAATTATCAGGATCATTCACAAGCCTTTTTAATCATACTTCATAACTCTTCATACAAAATAAAAATGATTCTATATAAAAACTTTATTCAATTTGTCTATTGGCGCTAAATACATGGTGGAAAAATAATTAATTACAAACAAACGATTGCACATAGGAGATATTTAAAAATACGTTCAATTGGCGCAAAGTGTCTTTCCAAGAGGCGAGTTTGCACCCCCTGATGCAGCCTAGCCCTTTGACTATATAAAAGGCCTAGCCCGAATCGGAACACTGGTTCCGCTCTTTGACGGAACTCCGCTTCAGGTGCTCCAGCCCGTTACAGAGTTATTAATTATAAAGGGGTAGTAATATTGACGTGTCTTTTCTCTTTTAAACTATATAAAATATCTTTTCTACGTTAAATCTAGGATAATGTTCGTACAATAATCCGTGTTGCATCGTTAAAACAAATTTCAACAAATTACTATTTTTGGACACTCAGACACTTAAAAAATATATAATTTTGAAATGTATATTAGTTAAGTGACAACATTCCATGTATCTAGAAATAATGTTGGAATGGAATGTTGTCACTTAACTAATATATTACATAGTAAATTTTTTATATGTAGATAATTATAGTTTTATTTAATATCATGGACAACCCTGCGAGAAGTTAACTAACACAAAAAATTAAAAGCACAATATATAACGCTCACATAAGCGTTGAAACTTGGAAATAATACATAAATACAATTTTTTTAATCATTTTCCTTCTCGCAAAGTTGTCTCGCATCTAAAAATGTGTTACATAAAACAACCGCTTATAAGAAAAAGATAATTTCTTTACAAACTGGAAAATCTACCATAGGAATTCCGGATCAATTTGATCTGCTAAAAAGTGTTTACCTCGATCTATGCCATTGTTGAAATTAAATACATGAATATTACGAATTATTTTTGCAAGAGGCGCCAATTCAATAGATGTCTTTATTTCTACAATGGCATAAATCGTGGTTTTATCACAATGTTTTTCCTTTCTTGACTACATTTTGTAAACAGACGGTTGTAAGTTTAGCGGGTTGGCACGAATCTCCAGTTCTTTTCGAGCATCAAGAGTCTTCAGCAGCGGTGTCGCATAAAACATGCGTAGAGTACTACTGCAGTGCCAATATCGAAAGCTGAAGTTATTTTATTGATTTTTAGTCTCTACAAATATTAACGTAATTCATAACAATGCAGACATAAAATCTACAAGTGTTAATCAAATTGAAACTCGCAAGCTGCGAACATGTACTTCAAAAAAATTGGCTTCAGCTGGGCTTTTGGTATATCAAAATGTATTATCAATATTTATAGCGTCTAACACCACATGGAAAATTTTTCGTATGGTGTTGAGGCCGGGTCTACTGAAAAGAATTCTATAATTAATTATAGCAATTACACAGTAAAAAAGGTGTCTGATTAAAAAAACTGATTAAATAACTAGCCAGTTGGGTTGACTATAAGTTTTCTGATGTACAACCTAACCAGATAACATGACGATACATGAAAAGGCACTCCCTAGGAATAGAACTAATAATCAGCAATGATCAAAACTTGTCTTACGCATGTTATTCACGCTGCCATTTGTTCCTTCCTAGACGAGAGAAAGAAGGAAGAAAAGCTGCGAGATATTTTTGCGGCGACGATCGGCAACACTGTGAAATTAAATCAAAGTCTTGGGCGCTTTATTCTTCTTCGATTACTTCTCACTCGTGAACCTTGTTGTCCTTTCTATCACCTAAGAAATAAAGACAGGGTGGGGGTACAACAAGAGAGCCGGCGATACGCCGGGACGCAAACACACCGCTGTAGTCCCTACGAACTTGGCACTGCGGACACCTTAAATACACAAACACACAGTGATATATTTTACCTTCATTGCCACTATTGCCAGCGATATACTAGGAAACACACCGTGCAACCGCCGGAGCCTAACGAGACGGCATTCCGCTGAGTCGGCACGAGATAAATAAACGCGACCTCGTGAGCGGCTTTTTTTGGGTGTGTTTCCCTCTACGGGGGCGTCGTCAACCGTTAGGTTATCCTCGCGAGCGGCAAGAAACGGTCTCCGTCTGCCCGCTGCCGTACTAACATATGCCGCGGTCCGGGCGGCGGGTTCAATTGGAAACAATCGAGCGAAACGGCACTGCTCGCGGCAAGTCGGTTGCGATCTACCAGGCGGCGACTAGAACGGGGTCATTGGCGCGCTTTTAGAAAGGGGAGGAAGAGTTAAGCCCGTATCAGACTACGGATTGGGATTGGGATTAGATTGAAATTTGACCAATCAGAGTAAAGTTTACTAATCTCAAGTTCAGTAACTTTTACTCTGATTGGTCAAATTTCAATCTAATCCCAATCTCAATCCGTAGTCTGATACGGGCTTTAAGGCCTTCACACATAAAATTCCGTAAGGACGTAAAACGTAAGCATAAGAAAATCGACCAATCACAGTCGAGAACGTAAGGCAATGACGCAAGCAGTAGCAAATCCAACCTGTTGATTTTGTTCCGCTTACGTTTTACGTCCTTACGGAATTTTATGTGTGAAGGCCTATACGTGCGCAAACGTACCTTCTCTTTCTCGTCGCTCACTGTCCTGGACGACGACGAGCCCTCGGTCGTCCCGCCGTCGCCGCCGCCGTCGCCGTTCACAGGAGCGAGCTCGCGCGAACGCAGACGAAATGGCCGTATCAGCTTCAAGGAGCTGGGAGCCAATAACAAAGAAGAAGAACGCAGACGAAGCTGAAGCTGAAGCTGAACCTGAACCGGATAGCGACCGCCTCCTCTCCCCTCGCACGTTTCTCTTGTTCTCGCAGCCAACAAGCCCCACGACGGTTGGTGGACAAGTGATGTTCCATACCTAAAGCCCGCTGCAGACGATGCTATTTTTCCTGCTGGATTGCTTGCGATTTAGTAAATTACTATCGTTGCACCACTCAGCACTCAGGATTCCTAGTAGTTTAGTAAATTGCAAGCAATCCAGCAGGAAAAATAGCATCGTCTGCAGCGGGCTTAATTCCATACCTTTGACTATATAACCAGGGAGTGCAGACTCCCATCTTGATGGGGGGACAGCTAGTGTCCCTAGAATAGATCTATTCCAATCAGGATGCCAACAGAGAGAAGCCTGAGAGATGTCACGGCCCCGTTTTTCGTGATACGCGAATGCGATACGCCCTCTGTGGACATTGAAAACGTGGACATTGAACTACGTAGCCAATTTGCACATTTTGCTAAGTGGGTAACGCAGATTTGCACAATTTTATCCCCGTCCCGCGCTATGGTTAGATCCCATGCAATGATCTTGTACTTAAAATAATCTTAAGTACAAG